AAAAAAAAAAAAAAAAAAAAAAAAAAAAAAAAAAAAAAAAAAAAAAAAAAAAAAAAAAAAACATCTAATGATAAGCAGGCTTGCAACCCTGAACAGGGAGCGTACCCTTGTCAAAGGACCAAAATGCTTCCATGGCGTATGACACCGGGCATGCCAGATAAGTTTGGCATTTCACTTCCCAGTCCACAAGCGAGCAATTCCGTCCGAGTACCAACAGGAAGGAAAGATCCCTAAAGTGTGGGAATCGGGATTCCACTAGAAAGCAACTCAAGAAATAGATGCATAGCAAGTTTAATCAGCCACAAAATTCAACCAATAATATTCAATAACAAAATTTGATTCCAATCATTCCAGAATCCATATTTTTGTATCTCAGTCGCATTCGCAGAGAAGAAGATAAGACCCTGTACGCCTTGCCAAGATAGGGACAGATACGGAAATTTTCAAAAAACTTGGAAAAAAAAAAAATGAAAAAAAAATGAAACACTGTAGATGGATGCTCTCTCATACAGACACAGACACTTAGCACAGATTGAGACCCTTCTGCAGACACAGACACTTAACACAGAATTAGACACTTGGGTAGATACAGGCACTTGTGCATGGTACTGCATACGCTTGGTCGTTTACATCTGCACAGATCTAAACATTCTTTACACACAAGAGGCAGTAGGAGGGGGCCATGAAAAAAACCCATCATCAGCCCTTTATTCTACCCCCAAATTTCCCAAAAGGAAATTTTGGCAAGAAATATGGGACAGTACTGATGCTCACCACATCTATAATCTCTTGAAAATGAACAGACACTTTCGCCATCTCCAGATCCCTGTGATTCGAGGAGTTGTGGATAAGCTCTGATACCTTATTGAGACGCAGCTGTAAACACCAAAACAAGGTTCAAAACAAAAGATGATAATAATTGCAGACAAAGATCAGTTGATTCAGTTCCTTTACCAATGCACATCTTCGGAAGAGTTGGGGCTGTTCAACAAAAAAAAACAACATTAGGAAAATATCTCAAAAGAGAAATGGTGTCCTCCGGGACATCCATTAAAATTGGAACGATACAGAGAAGATTTCCATGGCACCTGCGCAAAGATGACACGCATAAATTGAGAAATGGTCCGAATTAAAATAAAAAAAAAGGGTCCTTCGGGACATCCATTAAAATTTGAACCATTCAGAGAAGATTCGTCTGGCCCCTGCGCAAGGATGACACGCATAAATCGAGTTCAAACTTCAAACTTCAAACTTCAAATTTAATTAAAAAAAAAAAAAAAGGCAGGGGGAAGTAGGGTCCCTGCATCAGAAGATTCAGAATGCTTCAGCATAGGTCAGGACTGTCAGGAGGATGCCCGAGCTGCAAATCGAAAAACACAAAAGAGCTCAGTGAACACTGAACAGATGCCAAATTTGGGCTATTTCCAGAACTCCAATGCCACAACTTTCAGGAAGTATCGGGGCGCCGTTTCCCTGGATATCCGCTCAGGCAAAACGAGCATCACATGCAACCCGTTTTGCCTGGACGGATATCCAGCGAAACTGCGGCCCGATACTTCCCAAGAGTCGCAGCTGCATAGACGCCACGACTCTCGAAAAATGGCTGGGAAGCGTACTGGTGGTTTAACCACTAGAGATCGACACCCCACTTTAAAAATGGGGCACTCCATGACGGCAAAAGACAAATGAAAGAGGGTCTGAGCTGCAACAGATCCGTCAGCATCCATTGGAAAGATTTTTTTTTTTTTATGCAGTACATAAAATAGCCATTCGCATCTAAATAATCAGACAATTTAACGTAAAACTTGTAAAAGTTAACTTAAAACTTAAAACACACCACTACAACGGTTCATGTTCTCGATGCATTACACTGGACAGTCATTCACATCTAGATAATCTAACAACTTCACATAAAACACACAACTACAAGGATTCATATCTAAACCACTGAGCACAACCCACAGCACCGAACACAGAGTTCTCCCAGTTCGATGGAATACCATGATGATGGTCTTTCCTGACTACACTGGTGTGAGTTGTTGTAGTATAGTTGTAAGTATCCCTGCCTGTCACGCAAGAAACCCGGGTTCGATCCCCGGCAACGGCGATCTTTTTTCCTTTTTTCTTTTCTATTCCATGCTTCGGAGATTTTAGAAGTTAAAACCCAGCTAAGAAAGAATACCTCAGAATAATCATGAATCGTTCAGTATATGGTTCCCAAAAGTTAAATTTTGAGAAGAAAGAATTTTAACTTTTTAATTTTTGGCACTTAAGTTAACACCCAACAAAGAGAGAACTACTTCAGAAGTTCAGAATATCAATCTATTATTCAGCAGAGATCCAAAAGTCAAACAGAGATTAAAAGACGTCGACTATATGAAGATATCCTACTCCCTCACACTTTCCCATGAGTCGTTGTAGTATAGTGGTAAGTATCCCTGCCTGTCACGCAGGAGACCCGGGTTCGATCCCCGGCAACGGCGATTGTTCTCATGCTTGGGAGACATTATGCCGAAAGTTAAAACCGACTTTCTCACGCCCCGCCAGACTTTAACCTTGGCACATTTGCAATGTCGGACAGAAATGTTTCTCATTCGTCACTGCCGATCACCTGATAAAAGGTCGTACACCTACCGGACCTGGCAAATCTGCAGCCAAGTGTAGTGTGGTCCTTAACTCCACAAGAGGCGTCTGACATTTACTGCTACTGGTTTTGTTGCCTCGTCACAGGTTTTCTTTTCTTATTCAATTGGAAATCTGATCATTTCTTGATCTGTGTGTGTCATCCTTGATTGCACAGGGGTCATGCTAATCTTTTCTTTATCATTCCAAACTTGAGAGATGTCCCGAAGGACACTGACAGCTTTACAGAAAGTGCTATACAGATTTACAGAAAGTACTATGTTCCCACATACATCTATCTCATGACCGCCTCCATTGCTACTTAGCGGATCAACTTGGACACAGAATCTAAAAACTTAGCATCCTGTCTAAAGGGGTACGTTTTTGTATGTAGGTAAGCGTGATGAAATTGAGTTACAGTGTTTCCTTCGGAAAAAGAAAAAAGAAAAAAGGTACAGGGTCACTGAGGCATGCACGAGCCTCCATCTGGGCCGGAGTACAATTTGGGGAGGAAGGGGAGGGATTATGGAAAAGGGGGACAGGTATTCGTCAGGGTTAGTAAGCCCAGCGCAGTTACAGACTACACAGTCGTTGTAGTATAGTGGTAAGTATCCCTGCCTGTCACGCAGGAGACCCGGGTTCGATCCCCGGCAACGGCGAGTCGTTGTAAGTATCCCTGCCTGTCACGGGGAGACCTGGGTTCAATTCCCCCAGTGAGTTGTTGTAGTATAGTAGTAAGTATCCCTTCCTATCACACAGGAGACCCGGGTTCGATCCCCGGCAACGGCGATGGTTTCCCCACCGAGCCCTGTCTTGTGGGCTGTTGCTTTTCGAACTTCACAGGACAAATTAGATATCCCAGTATCTTCCACGGACAATTAATAAATAACAGCGGCTCCGTTAGCACAACAACTTGACAGGCCAATAGAGAGTGAAACATGAGCATGCCATGCGTTAGCACCGGTTCATTCTTTCTTGGCAGACAATGCATCTCCAGTTTAATGGAATGGGCTGATCAACCCAGTCTACAAAGACTGCAAAGATTAGAATCATTAGATGTTACTAAATATCGGGGAGTCCACAATCTTTTTGAAGATTGGGCAAACATTGACCAGTCCTTTCCAATGTGAAACAGTTTTCACCTTTGGCAGTAGCCGATGCAGATCCCAGGGGTCGATCCCTAGACCTCAGCTTACCTGTGTACAGTATCTGCACAGTTCCCTGGAGTTGAACCCGTGACCTGCACGATAGCCAGTGGTAAGTAGGTCGCCGTAGG